CCTGCTGCTTCTTACTCAACAACAACATCTTGAAGTATCCCTTTCAGGCATGCGGGTCACAAAAAAGCCATCTTCATTATTTTCCTCCTGATGACTTTCAATGTTCGCCTCTTGTTTTCTTCCTCTCACTCTGTACCAAGGACATACAGTTGGGTGCCCATAAGTTAAATATATGTATGCCACAACACTCTTGCATTATTAGATGAAGAAAAGCAGGTTACAGAGCAGCCTATATATAGGAAGACTGCTTTGTGGGGGGGAAATGTATTTGCATGAGGAAAATTCTGGAAGGAAGCATAAAAATGCAAATGGAACTTGACTGGCTGATGCTCACTTGGCCCTCCCCTCGCTTCCCTGGCTCTCATCTGTTCCTCTCACAATCACCACCATTGTCAGGGCACATTTGGCTGCCAGGAATGGGAGCCCAATCAAGAGAGGCTTGTGGGAGAATTCAGGAACTTCCGAGGGCCATTTACTCCTCGAGAACAGGGACTTATTTGTGCTGCTCACTCCATTTTGTTGAATAAATCTTCGGGTTGGCACAACAAAAATATGAATCCAAGCTGGCTCCTTTGAGTCCCCAGGGAGGGCTAGCTGACTGTTGCCTTTCCTTCATACCATCCCTGCCCCTTCCGTACTTTTCCCCAACAGTCCAGTCCATATTCCTTCTCTTCCTCCTTCCCCCATTTCCTCTCCTGTCATTTCTGGGTCTTGCTATGTAGCCGTGGCTAGACTGGTATTCACTATGCATGTGTACATACATTTATGTGTGTGTGTAGCATGCACATGTGTTCATGTGTGTGTGTGTGTTTGTGTGGAAACCAGATCTCAACCCCACAGTGTCCTTCCTCAGGAGCTGTCCACTGGAGCTTGGGGATTAAGCTAGTCCCCACCTTTCCAGTGTCCCCGTCCCTGGCTCTGTGTATACATGTAGGAGATTCAGCTCATGATCCAAGCTTGGGAGTGGAACACTTTACTGACGGTGCTGTGTTCTCGGTCAACTTTATTATATGTTTGTTTATTTATTTATCTATTTGTTTATTTTTTGTTTTGTTTTTGTCTTTTTGAGACAGGATTTGTCTGTGTAGTTCTGGCACCCGTCCTGGAACTTGCTCTGTAGAACAGGCTGGCCTTGAACTCACAGAGATCCCCTTGCCTCTTCCTCCTGAATGCTGGTATTAAATTACATTTTAATTAAAATCGGCTCTCATGTAGCATAGGCTAGTGTTGAATCCCTGATCTTTCCATCTCTGCTTCATAAATACTGAAGTCGCCGGGCGGTGGTGGTGCTCGCCTTTTTTTTTTTCCTCGAGACAGGGTTTCTCTGTAGCTTTGGTGCCCGTCCCGGAACTAGCTCTTGTAGACCAGGCTGGCCTCGAACTCCCAGAGATCCGCCTGCCTCTGCCTCCTGAGTGCTGAGATTAAAGGCGTGCGCCACCACCGCCCGGCTTTCTTTTGTTTTTGTTTTTAATATTTATTTATTTATTTATTTATTAGGTATACATTATTCTGTTTGCTTGTATGCCTGCAGGCCAGAAGAGGGCACCAGACCTCATTACAGATGGTTGTGAGCCACCATGTGGTTGCTGGGAATTGAACTCAGGACCTTTGGAAGGGCAGGCAATGCTATTAACCACTGAGCCATCTCTCCAGCCCGGTGGCACATGCCTTTAATCCCAGCAGAGGCAGGCGGATCTCTGTGAGTTCAAGGCTAGCTAGTTCCAGGACAGGCTCCAAAGCCACAGAGAAACCTGTCTCGAAAAACAAACAAATAAATAAATAAAACACTGAAGTTAAAGGCACATGCCACACTTGTCTTGGCTTTCCCTTTTGATCCCGAGTGCTGGGATTACAGGCATATATTTGCCCCAGCCCATCTCTACTCTTCTTTCCCTCCATCTCGGCTTGCAGGAGGATTTGCACATTCAAACTTTGAGGTGAAAGCTTACATTGCAGAGATAGACACATAGTGATGCCTTTAAATTTTTACATCTATTTATTTACTACTATTTCTTTATTTACTGAGTTTTATGTGATGTATTGCCTTCATGTATGTGTGTGAAGGTACCAGATGCCCTGGAACTGAAGTTACAAAGAAATGTGAACTGCTATGTGGGTGCTGGGAATTGAACCCAGGTACTCTGGAAGAGCAGCCAGTGCTCTTTTTTTTTTAAATTTATTTTATTTAAATACCTTTTAAAATTTAATTTACATACCGACTTCAGTTTCCTCTCCCTCCTCTCTTCTCAGCTCCACCTTCCCACCTACCCCCTTCCCTTCTACTCCTCCACCTTCTCCCTTCAGGCCTCCCGTGGGCCTGAACAAAGCTTGGCACTTCAAGTTGAGGTAGGACTGAGCTCCTGCCAGTGCTTCAAAGCTGGGCAAGGTAATCCAGCATGGGGGAACAGGTCCCCAAAGGCAACTGAGCGCCAGGGACAGGTCCTGCTCTCACTGCTAGGAACTGTCACTCACATGCAGAGAGCCTAGGTTGGTCCCATGAGGTCAGGTCAGCTGTTTCTGTGGATCCTCCAACCCCCTTCTCCCCCCTCATCATGACCCCCCCCCCCCCCGCAGCCAGTGCTCGTAACCGCTGAGCCATCTCCCTATCTCCCTATCTATCTATCTATTTATCTATCTACCTATCTATCTATCTATCTATCTATCTATCTATCTATCTGTGTGTGTGCGCGCACAAGTGTGTATCACTCATACAGGTGAATAATGGACACCCGAGGACCATTTGCAAATGTTGGTTCTCTCCTTCCACCTTGTGGCTCCCAGGGATTGAACTCAGGTCAGCGGCTTGACTGCAAGTGTTTTTACTTGCCCAGCTACCTCACAGGTCCCAAAGCTTTCTCAGAGTTCACAAGTAGATTCACGAAGGCACCTCCCCCAACAGAGAAATAATTGTGTCCATTGCCACACACCGCTTTGTCCTGGTTAGCTTCAGCTGTCGTCTTGACATCCTTGGAAAGGCAAATCCTCAGCTGAGGGATTGCCTCAGTGGGACTGGCCTGGGGCCGTGTCTGTGAGGCATTCTCTTTCTTTTTAATTTACTATTTTTTATTACAGTTTTTTCATTTATTTTACATACCAACCACAGTTTCCCTTCCTCCTTTCCTCTCATTTCCCTCCCCCATGTCTACCTGCACCGCATTCCCTCCTCCTTCATTCCGGAAGGGGCGGGCCTCTTGTAGCCAGGTAACAAGGAGCACCCTAAGAGGGACTATGGGTTTCCCTGGGAAGGGAAAGTAGATGAGATCTCCTGGGTAAACTGGGGCCAGGGCGGGGTGGGGTGGGGAATTGGAACATGAGGCATTTTCTGTGGTGATATTTTGTTTGTGTTTTAACAAATGAAACTTGCCTGAAAATCAGAGTGCGGAGCTAAGCCACTAGAGGCCAGGCAGTGGTGGCACACACCTTTAGTCCCAGGACTCGGGAGACAGAGGCTGGTGGATCTCTGTTAGTTCAAGGCCACCCTAGGCTACGCGAAATTGATTCAGTCTAAAAGAGAAACAGAGCACACAAAAGTGATCCCAGCACTTGGATCATATGCCTTTAATCCCAGCACTAGGGAGGTGGAGACAGGAGTCCTATGGCTGTGTGGAGAGAGGAAGATAAGGCAGGAGGAGACAGGAGCTCAGTACAATCGGGAAGAGGCAGTCTGAGGACAGGGTCACCCCTTTGGTCTGAGCATTGGTAGAGGTAATAACTCTAGTGACTGGCTGCTCTGCTTCTCCGAGCCTTCAGCTTTTACCCCTTGATAGCTGACTCTGGGTTTTTATTAAGACCAAAAAGAATTATATATATATATATATATATAATATATATATTAAGGTTTATTACTTATTATGTCTACAGTGTTCTGTCTGTATGTGTGTCTGCTTGCCAGAAGAGGGCACCAGATCTCATTACAGATCTCATTACCTCTGGCCCATCTTTCCAGCCTCTTATTTGGTTTTTTGAGACAGGGTTTCTCTGCAGCTTTAGAGCCTGTCCTGGAACTCACTCTGTAGACCAGGCTGACCTTGAACTAACAGAGATCTGCCTGTCTCTGCCTTCCGAGTGCTGGGATTAAAGGTGTCTGTCACCACTGCATGCCCCCCCCCCCCCAAAAAAAAAAAACTCTTAAAAAAAAAGAAAAGAAAAATGTGGAAATACAGCTCACTGGTACAATGCCCGTTTAGTATGCATGAGGCCCTACATTCAGCCCTTACTATTACACACACATACACGCGGTAGATAAATATAGTATTAAAAACTAAAGGAACTGGAGAGGTGAAGTAGTTGTTAAGAGCACTAGTTGATCTTGCAGAGGACCAAGTATGATACCAAGCATCACATGATGGCTCATGCCTATCTGTAACTCCAGTTCCAGGGGACCTGACACCCTCATCTGAACTTTGAGGGTACCAAATACATACATGCTACACAAACATGCATGCAGGCAAAATAACCATATATGTATATATAGATGGTGGTATGTATGTAATTATATACTTTTATATTTCACCTTATATATTTTTATTATATGTATATTATATATCATATATAATAAAAATTTAATAGAAGAAACAAAGCAAAACCATGAGTAAATAGCACATTAAAATGCCCCTTTCAGCTGGGCAGTGGTGGCACACACCTTTAATCCCAGCACTCAGGAGGCAGAGGCAGGCTGATCTATGAGTTCAGGGTCAGCCTGCTCTACAAAGTGAGTTCCAAGACAGCAGAAACCCTGTCTCAGAAAAGAAAAGAAACAACAGCAGCAGCAGCAGCAGCAACAACAACAACAACAAAAATAACTCCCCTTCTTTCTCTGACTCCTCAGCTTCATGGGACACAAGGCGATGGGCATCTCTGAGCTTTCTGGAAACACCTTTAGAAGGTGCCTTTAGAAGTTTCTCCCTTGACAAATATCATTTTGCCTTTGGCCAAGCCTCTATCTACTACAAAAGGGGAGGAGGTCCCCAATTTCCCAGTGAAAACCTGGAGACTGGAGATCAGGAAAAACAGCTGTTTATTCCAAAACAAAAACCACCCCCCACTGAGCGCCAGCTCTTCTCGCTGTCCTCACCAGGAAGTCGAAGGTGGGTTCAGCACAGGAAGGAAGAGTAGGGGACGGGAGAGAGGCTGGGATTCAGAGGTGTGGAGGGTCCTCCGGTGGAGCACTTCAATCTGACATCCCCTCTGCAAGCCCCAGTCAGAAGGGGAAGCTGCTTTCCTGCACGGCTGTGCATGCCCCGTTCATGTGTGTTTGTGTGTTTACTGGGGAACAGTGGGGAAGACTCAGAAGGCCAGGTCCCAGCTCTGGAAGCATCGTGGTGCTAGTGGGGTGGGGGGGGTGAGACCTCTCCCCACTATGGCTTTATTGAGATAAGAGGTCAAGGCTCCTGGGTCAGGAGGGTGAATGGAGGGTTAGAGGCTGGGGGGCGGGGAAGGCAGATCCCAGGAAGGAATCCAAGTTAGGAAGGATGGAGAGAGAGACTGAGAGAAGGGGGCAAACAAAAGCCGAAAGCTCCCGCACCCCTGCGATGCTGGGGGCTGAAGAAAGCTGTGTGTTCAGTGGGAGTGTTAAGCGCGCTTGAAGGGAGGCCCTAGAATGGAAGGGGAGCCCACGGAACTTCTATTAGCCGGGAGACTGAAAACCTGGCGCTGGAGTTTAGGAGGATTGGTGGTGACATCCTACCTTCCTCGATGGTGAGACCCTGGCACCATCTATCCCATCCAGGCTCTTGGCGAGATAGGATGAGCACAGAGGCCAATATTTGGTGGGGTAAGAGGGTATAAGAGGGAGAGGGCGGCCTAGAGGAGGGAGAAGAGCCCCCTCCTCGCCTTGGGGGCTGGGAGGGGGACATGTAGCCCTTTAAGAGTGGGGAATGGCCGCCCCCCTGAAGCATGGCTATATGTACAGAGAACTGTGTGGAGGGTCAAATTGTGCACTGGGTGTTAGGGACTCCCTGGTGTGTTACGGGAAGGGGTGAAGGAGCACCCTTCTTGGCCTTTGCAGGTGAAGGTAGCAGTGGCCAATGCTCTCAGGTATCCCCACCCCGGGAACTGGCCAAACTGGTGGTTTGCCAGCTGTGGCATCTTCCCACAGACCAAGATTCTAAAGAGAGTTTGGCCCGAGCTAGTGAGTTCTGATCTGGTGGTGGGGTCCAATTAACAGGGTTTGAGTGGGGTAGGGCAGTGATGCCGCCCAAGGGCTGGGAAGCCCCACCTCTGCTACTGCTGTGAAGTCACTGGGTTGACCCTGTCACCGATCTGATGGCTGGGTGAGGGACAATGGTGACACAAGGAAGAGTTTGGATGCACTCACCAGTGGGTGAAGGAGGCTGGACCCAGGTATGTATTCTGATAGGAGCGAGGCAGTGACATAATCAAGAAGGGCCAGAGTGGGGGAGGGGGACACTATCTGAAGGAGATAGCTGGCTCCACCCTAGTCCTGCGGAAGGAATGGGAAATGGCCTGTTGTGCTGGTTCCCCTGAAGGGAGGAACTGTAAATGCCATGAGACCCCAGAGGACCCTAAGATGGTGGATCCTGGCAGATGGCACACAAGTGCCATGGGTCCTGGAAGATGAGGACACAGTTTTAACGTGGATTCTGGGAGGCAGCGACACCATGACTGAAGTGAACTTGGGAAATGATGGCATTATTTGTTGTCATGGATCCAGGAGGTGATGACACCATGGTTATGGGAGGCCCCAAGGATAATGATATCACTGGGTCTCAGGGACCCTAGGTCACGGAGACACTGGGGTTCGAGTGGGTCCTGGGAGATGAAGACACCATTGGCAATTATGGCTGATTGGAGGTGATGCACCATGGTTACAGTGACTCCTGATGAGTCATGACAGGACACGTTTGGAGTGGGGCCTGGAGGTGGTGACACCATGGCTCTCGTGGATTCCTGTGGATTATGACTGTGACACTCAGATGGATCCGGGATGTGGCGATGCATGGCTGCATGAATCCAAGGACACCACAGTTGCCGTGGATCTTATGAAGTGGTGACATCATAGCTCTGGTGTCTGAGACATGAGACGTGGTGGAAGTAGATTGTGGGAGATGGCAACACTGTGATGATGAGAAACATCGGCACTATCCGTCCTAACAAGTCCTCTTGGAGAGTGCCACCACGAGGCATAATGGATTTTGGAAGATAAGGACATCATTGGTCATGGCACAACTAGGGAGACAAGAACATCATGGTTGTAGTGGCTCCTGAGAGATGAGGACAGCATGGTTCTGATGGCTCCTGGGAGATGATGGGGACCGTATGGCTGTAGTGAATGCTGGGGGATGATGGGGACCTATGGCTGTAGTGAGTGCTGGGAGATGATGGGGACAGCATGGTTCTGATGGCTCCTGGGAGATGATGGGGACCTATGGCTGTAGTGAGTGCTGGGAGATGATGGGGACAGCATGGTTCTGATGGCTCCTGGGAGATGATGGGGACCATATGGCTGTAGTGAATGCTGGGAGATGATGGGGACCGCATGGCTGTAGTGAATGCTGGGAGATGATGGGGACTGTATGGCTGTAGTGAATGCTGGGAGATGATGGGGACCGCATGGCTGTAGTGAATGCTGGGAGATGATGGGGACCGCATGGCTGTAGTGAATGCTGGGAGATGATGGGGACAGCATGGTTCTGATGGCTCCTGGGAGATGATGGGGACCATATGGCTGTAGTGAATGCTGGGAGATGATGGGGACCGCATGGCTGTAGTGAATGCTGGGAGATGATGGGGACCGCATGGCTGTAGTGAATGCTGGGAGATGATGGGGACAGCATGGTTCTGATGGCTCCTGGGAGATGATGGGGACCATATGGCTGTAGTGAATGCTGGGAGATGATGGGGACCGCATGGCTGTAGTGAATGCTGGGAGATGATGGGGACCGCATGGCTGTAGTGAATGCTGGGAGATGATGGGGACAGCATGGTTCTGATGGCTCCTGGGAGATGATGGGGACCATATGGCTGTAGTGAATGCTGGGAGATGATGGGGACCGCATGGCTGTAGTGAATGCTGGGAGATGATGGGGACCGTATGGCTGTAGTGAATGCTGGGAGATGATGGGGATCTATGGCTGTAGTGAATGCTGGGAGATGATGGGGACAGCATGGTTCTGATGGCTCCTGGGAGATGATGAGGTGAGCATATTGTGATGGATTCTGGGAGGTGATGAGAACATGCTGTGGCGGCTCATAGGAGATGGTGATGATGGCATGTTATGTGGATCCTGGGAGGTGGTGACATCTTGGTTGAGAGGAATGTTGGGAGACAGTGGTGACATCATTAGTGGTGACAATTCCTGGTATATGATGATGTGCTAGTTGAGGTGAGTCTTATGGAATCCTGGGAAATGACATGATTAATACTGGATCCCAACTGCTATGCCATCATGAAATGAGTACACTGGGTAGCATTGATGGTATCATTGGCAAGGTCAGCAGCACACACACTCCAACCCTCTCCCTCCAATAGGAGATGGGGGCTCTGTTGACAGAGCTGATGTCTTTAGATATGGCAGAAAGAAGTAATGCCAGCCTTTGGCCCACCTATGAGTCCCAGGATTTAGAAGCCTCATGGATCAAAGTGGCCTCCTTGGAGCTGAAGCTCATCCATGGGTGCCATCCCCAAGGACTCACTGCACAGGCCCAACCTCCCTTTAGAGGCGCTGGTAGACATCCTGTTGGCCATGTCCTTGGGGTCATGGGAAGAAGCCATGGAGCTAAGTTATAGGGAAGCAAGACAAGGACTCTGATGACAATCACTACTGGTGGCCATTGAGAGTGGGGACTGTCTCAGAAGGAAATCCTTTATGATGATGTCCAGGCGATGGAGGGCATCATCGCCAGCCTCCTACAGACAGGTCACTGTCTTGGCATCCCCAGTGCCGACACCCTCATAGTACATCTCAGGAAAAGCTGCTTTCTCTGGCATCTTCCCAAAATGATCTTGGGCTGGACACGCCCAACTTTATCACAACCCAGCACAACAACAGAGGTGTCCCCGGGTGTCATTTCCAAGCAGGTGGTAACTGGTGGTCACACCACATCAGGGCCTCCTCCTGGAGAGGTCCCTGGGACAGGTGGTCATTACTGGTAATGACATCGCTTGAAGAGGCACGGTCCCTGTGATGGCGCCATCGGGCAAGGCACCTATTCTGGTGATGGCATCACAGGAGGGAGGCAAAATCCTGTGACAGCACTGTGGGAAGGAGGCCTAATCTTTAGTGAGGACACATGACAGGGCACGGTCCCCTGCAGTGTGTCCCAGGAAAATGGCTTAGTCTGTAGTCATGGCATTGTGGGGCAGAGGCATCTTCTCCACAGCAGAGAAACATCTGGACAGTTTCAAGAGGCCTTGGTGCTCAGGATGATATCAAGAAGTCTCAAGAAGCGGGAGACTTGTCTCTGCAGTGACATCACAGAAGAAATCTTTGTTTCTAGGGATGATGGGATGGGACAAGGCATTGTCTGTGGTGACATCACAGGGAAGGAGTCTCTGGTGATGTCATGCAAAATGGACAGCCTCTAGTGATGACCTCACGGGCAGGCCTCTTCCTCTGTGGTGACCTCATAGGAAGGTTTAGTTCCTGCAATGACGTCATAGAACACAGACATATTTGCTAGCGATGACCTCATGTACAGGCCTCTTCCTCTGCGATGACATCATGGGAAGGAGGCCTTGGTTCAAACAGTGACAAAGTAGGAGGAGAGATCTCATCTACTGTGACATCCCAAAACGAGGCGTGGTCTCCGATCCAAGGGCCCATCTGGTCTCAGACCCTTGGTGTGTATGATAAGCCTGTGATGGAGATCTGGGCTGGGAGGAGGGGGCCTCAGAAGCCGCAGCCCCCAGCGCTCTACCCTGGCCTCAGACAGTCACTTCATTCTTGCTGGCAGTGCGCAGGTGCTGTGGCAGGTGGTGCCCAGGAATGAACTGAAGCTGCTCCAGGGTTCCCTGGCGCTGGAAGGGTGGCCGGCGGGCCAGTGTGCCCCCACCCCCACCTGCATCGGACATCCAGGCTGGCTGAGGAGAGCCATGAAGGGCGTGGTGATGGTGGGCATGCAGGCCTGATGGAGGCAACCCATGCAGTGGTGTGGGAGGCCCCCCAGGCCCCAGCAGCAGGTTGGAGTGTGACGCAGCCAGGCTGGCCCGGGTGGTGGGGTCTGGAGGCAGTGCAGGACTTCGTGGTGGTGACAGCAGGTGCTCTCGACTCTGGCGGAGGGCCTCTGGTGAGGACAGCAGCAGGTGTTCCTGAGACACCAGCCGCGCTCGAGGCAATGTGAACTCATAGCGGGAAGCTCGGCCATCACCCAGCAGATGCTCCTGGGACATAACTCTCCGGGGGTTGGGTGCCGGTGCCAGGCCCAGCTCCTCAGGACCACCCCAGCCATCCATGCGGTAGCCACCTCCAGTACCAGGCCGCCGCAGTGCATGCAAAGGCAGGGTTCCACGGGGCATCTCTAGATGTCTGCGCTTCAGGTAGGCTTCATCTAGATCTTTCTCAGCTGGAGGAGAAGAAAAGACAGATCCCATGACAACCCAGAGCATCCTTCCTCAACCGTATCGCACTCCACCCAGGAGGTTCTGCCTGCATGTATGCCTGCAGGCCAGAAGAGGGCACCAGATCTCATTAGAGATGGCTGTGATGGTTGCTGGAAATTGAACTCAGGACCTCTGGAAGAGCAGCCAATGCTCTTAACCTCTGAACCATCTCTCCAGTCACGGCACCCAGGAGGCCTTAATGTCTGAGCAACAAGAGTCAGCAAGCTAAGCGGGGCATGGTGGTTCATATCTGCAATCCCAACTCTAGGGAAGCTGGGTTTGAGGTCAGCCTGTGCTACACAGTGTGTTCCAGGACAAAGTGGGTTACAAGGCGAAGACTCAGTCTCAGAACAATAAATTAAATACAAATAAACAAAAACCCAACCCAAAATATTTCAGGTAAAACTAGGAAAAAACTAGGTAGGAAGGTTGGAACTTTTTGAGCTCCCCACCACCCCACTGCTGTCCTTGGAACTCAACACACCTTCCCACCCCACCCCCACCATAGGCTAAGTTCCCCTTCCTCAAACTCACCCAATCTCTTGAGAGAGGAGTAGCGATTCAGTTCTGATTTCACAGCAGCCTCATAGGATGGGGGAAGATGCGAGAGGTTGTGGAAGGATCGAGAGCAGGACAGCGTGGAGTAGTGCAGGGAGGGGCTGGGTGGTGGCATGGCTCGCCAGTCTGTGGCGGGGGAAGACCAGGTTAGTGCAGCCCTTCTTCCTCAGAGCCAGGTTCCAGAGCCTCACCCTCCTTCCCTCAGACCCAGGGACCCAGCGCCCAGCCCTCTTCCCTCAGACCCAGGTTCCCAAAGCCAAACCCTCCCTCAGAACCAAGAGTCCAGAGACCAACCCTCCTCCCCCAGGCCCGGGAGTCCAGACCCCAGTCCTCCTCCCTCAAGCCCAAAGGCCAGATTCCATCCCTCCCTCTGATATAGGAATCCAGGTCTTACCCCTCCTCCCTGAGACCCAGGGTCCAGTAGCTCTTTGCCCTCCTCCTTTAGACCCAGGAGATCCCGCCACCCCTGCCCCGCGCAGACTCAAGAGTCTGAGGAAGGAATCCAACCCTTCTCCCTTAGACCTAGGATTTCAGACCCCAGCCCGCCTTTCTCAGACCCAGGGGTCCATGCTCTAACCATTCTCCCTCGGACCCAAGATTAAAGGCTCCAGCCTTCCTCCTTCAGAGGTCTGGGGCTTGGGAGGTGAGAGATCTGGGGTTCTAGCCTGCGAGAGCTCCAACCTTTAGGAGCCCCTCGTTTCCCACCACAGTGGACAGGGTTGTGGTTGAGGATGAAATCACATTCCAGGTTGGGGACCGCTGGCATTTGTCAGCACCCACTGAATCCTGGCCCCAGCTGGGGATGCATTCCACGCATCTTCCCAAAACTTGACGGGAAGGAGATCACCACTTCCGGTGTCCTCTCGAGGACACTGCAGCTGCCTTGGTGGCCAGCCCCACGTGAGCATCGGCTCACGGGGGTCTTACTGGGGCTCCACCCAGCACCAGGCTGGGGCTGCCCACAATGAGGGTTTGAAGGACCCCGACTCCCAGGGCGCCTCGGCCCTCTGCGTACCCAGTGTGGCAGCGCGGTGCTTGGGACTGTTGACGTTGTAGTGCAGGTTATCTGAGGGACCGAGAAGGGAGGTGACGTCACTGCCATCGCCATCCCAATTGTCACTTGCCCGGAAGTGTGTCACTTCTGGCTCCCAGTTCCATGCCGCTCCCACCCCCTCATTAGAGCCCCACAGGTTGACTTATTCTATCGGTCCAATAGAGGAAACAGAGAATGGGGGCTCAGGATTATGGCTGAGGATGAGATGTCCCTCTTTTTCACCCCGATACCCAGGCCAGAACTCTGTTGGTCTCCGTATTACCTCTTGGTCTCTAACCACTCAGACCTGGTGGCCGCTCCTGACTCCGCATCTGTGCCTTGACAGACACCCTCTCTCTGAATCATCAGAAGTGCTAGTTTGAGGTGGGAAGCCCCGTAGCGGCTATCCCTCGGGCACTCAGATGCCTTCTGTGGTTCACCATCCCCCCAACAGGAAAAGTGGACCATGTGGGCGGTGCCCGAGGCTTGCCACAGGGCTGTTGCACATTCTGTAATACTGGTCTCAAGGCTTCGAATCTCTTCCTTCCCCTCTTTGCCTGAAGAGTGAAACCTCCCTCAAGATCTAGCTCGAGCCTTCACAAAGTGGCTCATGACTGCAGCCCCAGTACATAGGAGGCTGAGACGGAAGAACTGCCATGAATTCAGGGTCGGCCCAGGCTACAGAAGCTCCCGACAGCCTGCGGTACAGTGTGATACCTTATATTAGGAAAAAAAATTAAACCTGATGCTGTAATCCTGTAATCCTAACATTTGAAAGACGTAGGAAGGAGGATCAGAAGTTCAAGTTCAGCCAGGTGGTGATAGCTCACGCCTTTAATCCCATTTAATTCCAGCACCCCAGAGGCAGAAGCAGGCAAATCTCTGTGAGTTTGAAGCCAGCTTTGTCTACAGAGTGAGTTCCAGGACAGCCAAGGTTACCCAGAGAAACCCTGTCTCGAAAAACCTATCTCCTCCTTGCACCCCTGACCGGGCCCAGACCCTCTTCTATCACTGCATGGGCTGTAACCCCAGCCTCCAGAGCCTCGTTCATCTCATTTCTTCCCTTAACATAGGTTGCAGATTCCAGAACATAGTTCTTTTACCTCATCTTTATTTTCTTTTTCTTTATTTCTTTTTTTCTTTTCCTCTTTTCAAGACAAGGTTTCTCTGTAATTTCAGAGCCTGTCCTGGAACTCACTCTGTAGACTACTCTGGCCTCGACCTCACAGAGATCTGCCTGCCTCTGCTTCCCAAGCACTGACATTAAAGGTGTGTGCCACCACCGCCTGGTATCATCTTTTTTTTTTTTTAAGGTTTCACTGTGTAACCCTGAGTGGTCTTGACCTCACAGAGATTCACCTTCTTCTGACACCTGAGTGCTGAGATCAAAAGCATGAACCACCAAACCTGACTTCCATTTTATGTTTTTCCAGGCTGGAGATGGGAGCCAGATTGCGTGCTAAGTAAACACTCTATCACTGAACTACATCCCCAAATCCCTTCCTTTTGGGTGCTAAGCAAGTGGTCTACCCATGGGTCCCACTTCCAGCTCCTCACTGGTCCATTCTACCCCTGAGCTGCATTCCTACCCCTTGGTTTTCTGGGATAGGTTCCTGCTATTTAATCCAGGCTGCTCTCCACCTCTTGATCCTTCTGTCTCAGCCCTCACTGAGAGTTCTGAGATTACAACTGACTTCTTACTTCTTTGTTTCCTGCTTGAAACACCTCAGTGATTTCCCACTGATTTCAGAGCAGGGTACCTGAGCTCAGCCTGACACCAAAGAAGCCATGATGTCTGCGGTCTCAGGCCTGAGAGCCCCATAAGTTCTGCTCCAGCCACCCGGAGTTCCTGCAGCTAAAGTTACTCTTCTCTCTGGGAAAAGCCCGCCCCACCACCCTCTCACCGCCCTCCCCCATTTTCCTGCTTCAAACAAGACTGGAATTTTTCTTGTCCACTATGGCCCCTGGGATTTCTCTTAGGATGAGTAGAATGGGCGGTGAAGGGAGAAACGAGAGGGCCAAGGCTTATGGATGGAGACCAGAGTGGGGCCAGGGAACCAAGCGGGAGAGGGGTGGCACGTGGGGAAGAAGGGCAGAACCACAGGGCTGAGGGCGTGACCAGAGATGAGATTGCTTCTGTCACTTGCACTCACCGAGGTTGGAGGGCTTCATAGTGTTGTAAAGGTTCTTGGGTGTCCTGGGAGGCATGCTTTCTGGGCCTCCTAGCCCTGGGGTCAGAGAGCTGCTTCGGGCCCGGTCTGGGCGGGTTGTAGGTCCTGCTTGATGCCTCAGAATGTCCACCAGAGCTCTGAAAATGGTGGATGGATGGATGGGTAGTCGGGGACTGGGGTGGGAGGGAGATGGAGAAGCCCAGGCTTCATTCCCCCTCCCTATTCTCTTCTGTAGGGAGTCTGCAGGGCAGAGATGTGGTCCATTTTTGACTAGGCACTTTTTTTTTTTTTTTTGGTTTTTCGAGACAAGGTTTCTCTGTAGCTTTGGAGCCTGTCCTGGAACTAGCTCTTGTAGACCAGGCTGGCCTCAAACTCACAGAGACCTGCCTGCCTCTGCCTCCTGAGTGCTGGGATTAAAGGCGTGAGCCACCACCATCTGGCTAAGCCTTCTAAGGTCCACCTTTCTCAGCCACACTTCCTGACTGACATATTCCTCCTAGAACTCTTTCTGTGGTCCATCCACGTACATGTTCCCATGTTGTCTTGCCCCACCATGAACCTTATTACTGTTTCTAGGGTGGCCTTCCTGTTTGCAATAAAAGATGCCCTACTCTTTCACTTAGGCGGACCTCAAACCTTTTGGAACCTTTCCCCTTTCCAGTCCTCCAAAGTAGACCTCCACAATACATCGCCATCAGTTCACTGCTCAGCGCCTCTCCCACCCGGAAATCACGGTCGGCCCTCACACAGGATGTCTAGGTATTGCAATGGTCTCTGTCCACCTCTAGTGGCTCTTCATAGCACACAGAAGAAAAGCAGCCCCTTTCTGCTCCGCCTCAGACACCACGTGCACCCAGGACACCTCTGGAATGTGTCTGTGCCCTCTGCCTGGAACAACCTCACACAGTAGCTGCTTGACTCTTATCTCTAATTCCTTCAGGGTCCTGCTCAGACTCTTTCCAATCTTCAACTAAACAAACCTCTCCCTGAAACCAACACTCCTTCTCTTAACTCTTTACATTGTACATTGGTTTTGTTCCCCCATAGCGGTTGTCAACGTCTAGAGTTACGTGGCATATAGGCTTTCTGGGTCTACCACAAATATTTTATGAACACTTACTCAGCTAGGACTCTATATGAATCAGCTCAGTTATTCTTTAGAATCCGAACAAACGGAGGTCTGTTCTTAGCCCTACTGTCTATGCGAGGAACCCTAGGCACAGAGACCCCCACATCACATAGATCACAAGCAGAATGCTTGGGCTTGGGTCACAGGTTTATTCAGGAGGGCAGGGCTTTTGTCCCATTCTGTATCCCCAGCTACTGCTCCACAGAAAGTTTTTTTTTTTTTAAGGAAATATTGGTTGAATGAATGAACTCTCCCATCCCAATTCTTCTCTATAGCCAGGCCCCAGTTATTTCCCACCACTAACTTAGACCCCATCCATCCGTGTAGCCACACCTTAAAGCTTCCACCTCCCACAGCGCAGGCCCCGCCCCCAGGAGCCACCCCTATCGCCCAGGCCACACACCCCCCCCCCCCAGTCAGGTTGCAGGGTCTCTCGATGCCCAGCTTCACCTCCCAGCATTAAGGCACCGCCTACATCAGATTGCTTGGCCTCCCAGTGCCCTGGCTGCGTGCTCCCTCCTGTCCCTCCAGCCCCTCCGCATACCTACCTGGGCACGTTGATCTCCCGGTGCGCTCTGGGCGCACGCGACGCCTTGCTGAAGGCCACTTTGGCACCGACGCCCACCGCCAGGGCGAAGCTGATGACTCCGCACACTACGTAGGCTGTGCTGCCCCCGGGGCCCTCGCCCCCACGACCCCCAGCGCCCCCGGCCCGACCCCCTTCCAGCCACCCTGCCTGGCCCGGTCCCGGGCCCCCGCCCGCACCCCCAGCGCCCCCGGCGCCTCCGGCTAGAGGCGGAGGCGTGGTGGCCCAGCGTGGCGTGTCATAGTTGGAGCAAGAGGCCTGCGCCAGGCGCATGTGGCGGTGCTCGCAGCAAAAGCGGTAGTGGCAGGTGCCGCAGCAGAAGCGGTAAGAGCCGGTGCTGCAGTTGAAGGTGGCGTCGTACTGGCCCATGACATCGTAGTAGCCGTGGCAGAGCTCGGCCGGAGGGGGCGCCCGTGCCGCTGCACCCGCGCCACCCGTGGGGCTGGTCTTGGTGGCGTTAGCGCCGGTGCCCGCCGGGCTCCCGCCGCCCGACAGAGCCCCGGTTAGGCGCCGCAGGTGCGCGAGGAGCGCAGGCAGCGGGCCCGGGGCCACTGCGCTCGTATCGTTGGATGGGCGCGCCCTGGCTGGACCCGCGGCGGAGGCCAGCAGCGCGATGCTCCCGAGCAGCAGCAGGGCCCGCATGGTGTGCACCGGGACGCCAGGCTGCGGATCTCGGAGCTGAACTGCAGGGGTGGAAGGGGAGGGCAAAGAGAGCAATGAGAAGGGAGTGAAACGGGAGAAAAGAAAGGTCGTCAGGGATGGAGGAGGGGCTTGCAGAAGTTATAACGAAGGGAGCACTTGACAGAGAAGGAAGGTGTGAAGGCAGAAGGCGGAGGGGGAGTTGAGGAAGATGTGTGGGAAGGGGTGGTGAGCGGCAGCCAGGGACCCGCAGAGTCCAGGAAGGAGGGAAAGAAATAAGAGAGGGAAGGAAAGAGAAGGGAGGGCAGAAAGAGGGATAGGGAAGAGATGATGTGGGGCAGCAAGGCAGTAGAGGAAGCAGATGTGAGGAGGGGAGGAGGGAGGGAGAAAGAGAGAGAAGGAACGAGAATATGAAAATTAGTTCAGAGCCAAGCGACGAGCTAAGCCCTCAACATGGGTGCAGGAACATATAGTGAAGTGGGGAGTCATCATACAGTCTTGTCCTATGAACCTGTAGAACAGCAGACAGACATGCAGGTGATGTCCCTGTGTGACAACCTGAGATGCCTCCTGGTACTGGGGAAGAAAAAAAAAAGAGCCTGGTATGGTGACACATGCCTGTAACCCCAGCACTCTGGAGGCGGAGGCAGGAGGATTATCTGAAGTTTGAGGCCAACCTGAGCTATAGAGTTAAGTTTCAGGCCAACCAAAGAGACATACGGAGACAAACAAACCTACAAAGGAAAGTTGTCTTGGTAATGGGGATACAGTAGAGTTGGGAACTACTGGCTTACAGCTATTTGGTTCTCAATTCTCCATACATTCCCTAACTCTTTCACACACGCGCACACGCACGTGCATGCGCACGATTTCATATACAAAAGTGTCACTGCTGTTCACAGTTAGGGAAAAAACATATTCGATGTGGGGGTGATAAGAAGAGAAATGTAACTGGGGAGGTGGGTCAGAAGGGCAGGTCTTTTAGCTGTCTCCATGGCAACGGTCCAGGCAGGTCAGGAACAGACCAGAGTGGGCAGGAGAAGTTATGGGGGTGTAGAGACAGTCTGGCAGGGAGCTGGGAGAGCAGAGCTCTACCACAAGGCAGGATAAGCAGCTCAGAGCTGGGGCCGCAGGCAGAGGCAGGCTCTGGGTGGTTCCCCTCAGAATCTCCCCCTCTTCTCGAATGGCATCTTGACAAACCCCAGAGAGACCAGCTGCCCAGGAGCTTCCTTCCACAGACTCAGCAAGAAGGCTGTGCCTAGTGCGTGGGACAGGGACTCCTGGAAACAACCCTTGGATCCATGCCTGAGGATCCTGACCATCCTCCCCGAGCTGTCAGGAGCATCCAGGCTGGAGCCTCGAATAAAGCAAGCGCACAGTTTCCTGGGGGTCTAGGGTTGACCTTCCAGAGAGATGAGGGAGCGGCTAGACAGAACTGTCACGTGTGTTCAGACAACTGAGAAGAAACATTGAGAAGTGACAGACCCAGAGGGAACTAAAACAGCAGATGGGGGGATGTATTAAAGAAAAAATCATTAGGTGATTTTATAATGTGTTCTGTCCACTGTGCATGCCTGCATGCCTCTCTCTCTCTCTCTCTCTCTCTCTCTCTCTCTCTCTCGCTGTGTGTGTGTGTGTGTGTAACTACTGTCAACCAAAGCGCTAGACAGTTAGTATGGGAGATGGTTTTGGGGTACTGGGGTTTCCTAAGATTTGGCTCCAACTCTTCTATCACATGGAGTCTCAACTTTTCTTCTTTTAAACCACTGAGTCTCACTCTAATCCAGGCTGACCTGTAACTCACTATGTAGCCCAGGCTAGCTGAAAGCTGGAAACCAGTAAATCATTCTGCCTTAGCTTCCCAAGAATTGAGATTACAGGTGCATGAATGCATTCTCTCTCTCCCTCTCCCTCTCTCTCTCTCTCTCTCTCCCTCCCTTCCTCCTTTTTTCCTTCCATCTCTTCCACTCCTTCCAGCCACTTCCTCTGCCTTCCTGTCCTTCCTTCTTCTTACTTTTTGCTTGATTTTATTGTAATAAAGTCCATGGAGCCCATGCTGGCTTCAAGCTCACTATGTAACTAAGGCTAACATTGAACTCCAATCCTGCCTCTACCTCCTGAGTGCATGTCTGGCATCCAACTTAGCTTTAGGTTAGACCTCTTCCCTAAACTCTAGCCTAGAATATTTCACGGCTTACTGGGTGTTCTCATATGGGTGTTTATAGGTACTTTAGAAGTGGCTTGGTTCACTTGGTTGAAAAGTTTGGTGACGCATAAAAAAATTAAACAGATCTGGTGGCCATCCAGTCTGCTTGAGATGCTGAGGCAGAAAGTTTGCAAACTCAAGACCTGCCCGAGTACATAGTGAGTTCAAGGCTAGCCCAGTTTAGCAAGACCCTGACTCAAAAAGCGAGCTGGGCATATAGCTCAGTGATAGAGCACTTGCGTAGCATGCTGGAGGCTGGGGGTTTAATCCTAAATACCACACACATATTAATTGTAAGTTACCATAGAAACCAGCAATTCCACTTCTTTGTGTTCACCCCCAAAGAACTAAATACATATGAGTCTACAAAATGCATGCACCAAAGTCCATAGTATTTCTATGCATTATAAAGAGAAAGCAGAACTGACTCAGGGAAACAGACAGCTGGATAAACTGATATGATCCATCCATACAGTAGACTATTACTCAGCCTTCAAGAGGAGTTACACCCAGAATGACGGATGCTACAACACAGATGCATCTCAAAGCTGTGTGCTAAGGAAAAGTAGCCAGAAATGAAACGTTACACGGTATATAAGCTCACTTACATGAAATGCCAACAGTAGTCAAGCCCATGCAGATAGAAATCCTATTACTTATATATTATAGCTGGAAGGGAGGGCTTCATACACAGGGGGCTTCCTTTTGCAGTGGCGAGAATGTTCTGGAACTAGAGCAGGCAAGGTGACTCGGTGGGTAAAACTGCTTACTGTTAAGCTGGCAACCTTGATTGGATCCCCTGGGTTTCAGATGGAAGAAGGGGAAAAGGGGATTCCTAAAAGTTGTTCTCTGACCTCTGTATGTGAACCATGGTGCACATGCGTGCGTGTGCATGAGCACACACACACACAATTAAAATAAAATTGATCATCACACAACATAGGGAATATGCCAGATATTACTGAGTTGTACATTTTAAGGTGCTAAATGTAAATTTAAATTTTTTTCCAATTTTTAATTAACAATTAATTATTTTTTGTCCACTCCAGTTTCCTCTCCCTGCCTCCTTCCCTCCGTGTCCCTCCTGTCATCCTCTCTTTTTCCCCTCACCCTCTCCTCCCTCCTCTGTTTATCTTCAGGAAAGGGCAGGCCTCCCATGTATATATCAGCCAGCCATGGCATTATCAAGTTGCAGTGAGACTACACACCTCTTCTATTATGTCTGGACAAGGCGGCCCAAGAGCAGGAAAGGGTCCCAAAAGTAGGTAACAGAGTCAAAAACAGCTCAGGCTGTCACTGTGAGGAGCCCCACAAGAAGACCAAGTTACACAACTGTAACGTGCAGAGGGCCTAGGTCAGCAAACTCTCTGGATGGTGGCTCAGACTCTGTGAGCCCCTACGAACCCAGGTTAGTTGATTCTGTGGGTTTTCTTGTGGTGTTCCCTCCTCTCTGGCTTCCTCCCCCTCTCTGGCAGGATTCCTGGAGGACTGTTTGGCTATGGGTCTCCGCATCTGTTTCCATCACTTTTCTGAGCATTTTTATTGTTTTGTCTTTTGAAACAGTGCTTGGAACTCACTATCTAGACCAGGTCGGCTTGAACTCACAGAGATCCACCTGCCTCTGCGTTCAAGTGCTGGGATTAAAGGTGTGTGCCTCCACATCCAACCACATCTTGCCCAATTTCTTTAAAAATGGAGGCAGGCATGATAGCGCCAGCTATCATGGGAGGTAGAGGCAGGAGGGTCAGAGTTCAAAGCAAGCTTAATCATGACTACATGAGACCCTGTCTTAAAAACAAACAGCAGGTGGCACACACTTTAATCTGACACTTGGGAGGCACAGACAGGCAGATTTGTGAGTTTGAGGGGCAGCCTGGTCTACAGAGTGAGTTCCAGGACAGCCAGGACTGTTTCACAGAGAAACCCTGTCTCAAAAAAGCAAAAACAAAAACCCAAAATGGGTAGATGACATCAACAACTTCCCTGTTGAGACTGTCTTGACTTCTTGCCTCAGTCTACCTGAAGCACCGGAAGTATTTGCCCTTTCATTTTCCTCTAGGCCAGCGCTTCTCAGCCTTCCTAACACCGCGACCCTTTAATACAGCCCCTCCTGTTGTGGTGACCCCCAGCCATAAAACTATTTTCATAGTTCATAAGTTCATAACTGTAATTTCGCTACTGTTATTAATTATATGTAAATATCTACTTTCCAACAATCTTAGGCAACCTCCCGAGAGCCCAAAGGGGTTGAGAATTGTTTCTCTAGGCCATTCTAGGGTCATGCCCAAGAACTCTCTACTTTCTTGCCCTTAGTGCTTGCTGCTGCCTGTGTGACAGATCTCAGCCTGCCAGCCACCCCCTTTCCCCCGTTCAGCACCTCTCACCAAGCATCCCAGCCAGTCCCCAAGCAGCCCCAGACCCGCTGGAGTTCCTGGTCCTGCTGGGTGTCTTCTAGAGTTCTTGTGCGTTTGTCACGGGATGCACACCTTGTCTTGTTATGCATCTTTCACGCCTAGATTAGAACGTCCATGAAGGCGGATGGTTGGATCTACATCTCTGCTTTTCTACGGCACTCAGAATCAGTGTCTGGTACATGTAAATGCTCAGGAGAACATTTATAACTCGGAAAATTTTGAAGCAGGTATGAGAGGCGGATATTCATATCCCACCCACCCCCCCAGATGAGAAAAAAATTTTAAGAGCTTCTATCGGTTGCCTATGCCCCACAGTACCCGGACTTGGGGCTAGTCTGTAAACCTGGGTCTCCAGGTAGTAGTCTAGATGGCTTTATCCCACACACAGAAGAGGGAGGGGAGACACCTCGAGAGTCAGTCTTTCTGAGAGTGGAAGACACAGCCCTATAGATCCCTTCATCCTTTGAGCACTGACATATACAATGAGAATTTGGCTGAAAGAATGAAAGCCATCTGGACTGATGGGGCGGAAGGCAGCTGTCTCCCTTGCTCAAAGGCTGGGAGTTGACAGAGGACAACCATCTGCAGATGCAGCAGCCAGTGCAGACACTGGAGACAGGGGGACTGGTTCTGTTTCCCTCACACAACACTGCTCAGACTCATAACAGGATCGATACACAACAGACCACAGGACACCTAAGCAGTGGCCCCAAAGCAAGGACACTCAGTGTCATTCTGGGGATGCACCAATACATCCTTCCAGAGCATGTGTGTGACTGTGTGCACACACACATCACTCTACACGGACATACAAACATGTGCACGCATTTTAGCCTTTAGTACCCAAGACTCAGATGTCAAGGCACACCAGAGACATTACCACCCGAGGCCAGCTCCCTGCGCTGGCGCAGGCAGGCAGGCAGGCAGGCATCCACGCTCATCCTATCTCTGTCATGCAGCCTTCTAGGTGCAAGCACACTCCGGGTCAGCTGTGCAGAATCTGCAACTGGCTTGTGCGAACTCCTGTGGAGCCTACATACCCGCCCCATTCCCTACTCCGCCCCCAGCCCTAGACCGCCCCCAACCTCTAGTTCTCACTCACAAGTCAATGTCCTCCTCCACAGCCAGAGGGGGCGGGTGGAAAGGGAGGCCCAAACCCAGGTTCTTCCAGCTGCTGCACCTTGCTTGGTTCTCAAATCCAGCCCAGGACTTGAGAGACGCAAGGTACAGAGAAAGAAAGCCAGATTGGAGAGAGGAAGGCCCCCAACAAGTCCTATCCCATCCCTGCTAGCTGGGGGTGGAAAATCTTGGCTAGGATGGCGGAAGTGGGTTGGGCTGGGAAGAGCGGAGAGCCTCCTGAGGGTCCTGGAAGAGAACAGCAGCAGGTGGGGGGGAGGCTGGTGAAGGGACAGAGGAACAGGATCCAGGAAGAGGGGAACATAGAAACAAAGAGGAAGACAGAGCCAGCCAGCTTGGAAAGAGATAGAAACCCACGGAAGGTGGTACCGGAAGGATGGATAGTGATGGGAAGAAGACAGAGAAAGAAAGAGAGTGGGAGACCCAGAGAGGGAGGAACAGAGATGCCGGGGAGTGGGGGGGGGGTGGGCAAGAGAGCGAGAGAAGTGAGACCCAGAGAGGGAGGGCATAACCAACAAGGACCAAAGCCTCTAAAATGGCCTAAGTGGGGTCTGCAGGTGGCAGTGGTGGAGGAGGTAGCGGGAGAGCAGATCAGGGCAGGGGTTGGAGAGCAAGTGGAGGGGGTTCCTAGGAATCTCGGGGATTGGGAAAACAGTTTGAGGTAGGAATGCGGAAATCAGGCAAAACTGAAGACCTGTGGAAGAAGCAGAGGGAGGGAAGCGGAGCCGGTCCTGGCTACAGGGAAAGATCCCCCAAAACCTTGCCAGAGGAAAGAGTGGGTCTCCCCCAGCATTACATGCAGCTCTACTCTATCTGGGCTGTCTGAGGTCCCTGCCTAGATAGACACTCAGTGCATCCTCTTGTCAGGACCCCTGCCTCCATTCAACCGGCTGTTTTCTCTCTCCTTTTAACCCGACTCTGCCACTGGGCCCTTGCTTCGGGCCCTCTGCATCTCTGCGTCTGTCTGGGGCTCTGTCCCGGATCTCTGTCTGGGGCCTCCATCTCCAGCCTCCCCCGCCTGGAGCTGTATCCTCCCTGTAGTCTCCACACCCAGTACTTCAGTCAGGGGCTCTCAATCTCTGCACGCCTGTCCCAGGCTTCTGTCTGATTCCCATCACGGCATTGCCTCCCCATCCCAGCCCTTTGAGACCCCTACTCTTAAGCAGGGTGGGTGGGGGGCGCTGCGGAGGGAGCTGTGTGTTCCCGGCGCAAAATAGACTCCCGTTGCCATGGCGACGCGAGCGCGGCCTCGAGACGCAGGCTTCGGGCTGGGTGTGCGGAGGGGACACCTGGATCCGGAAGGCGGGGGCCGGGGCTCCGACGCCCGTGTCCCAAAGGGCTCTGGAGGATGGCTGGTACTCCTAGGTCCCCGGGGAGGGTATGCTGGACTAGGGGTGACAGGCTTTTGGGAGGGGGCTGGGCTGCCAGGATCCGCGGTGGTGGTAGGGTGAGTCTGATTGTCAATGGGATCGGACTGGTTCGTGCATCCTTGGCGGACACAGGATGCCTTCTAAGGGCTTCCAAGACTGGGGAAGGAATCTGTAAATCTTGGGTAAGGGTTTGACGCGGTGGAGGTTGAGGGGGGGCATCTGTAGAGTTTCAACACTCTGATCTCCTTAGGGGCTGCAGAATTCTGCGTCTTGGGCGAGTACGAACCACTGATCAGCAGCTGTCCATCCCATCTATCCATCCATTCATACACTTGTCCATTCCTCCCTATTCCCCTCTTTACCCCGTGCCTCAGTTTCCCCCTTCTCACCAGGTACAGATGCGCTCACCTCACTTTCCGGATGCGGGACCCTCGGGGAATCGGGGGTGGTAGCGTGGGGGCCAGCCAAGGGAGGCAGCGCGAACGCGTGTCTGCCAGCCAGCGGGGCTGGGCGCGCGCGCGCGCCGATGGGGGTGGGGGCGGCAGGCAGCGTGGCGGGGACCCTGGCCGGCAGCTCTTTCTCGTGCAGATGCGTACCGGCCCCCCCAGTGCAGATGTGGCCGCCGCCAGCCCTCGCCTGTGTCTCGCCGGCTTGGAGCTCAGAAGAGGCGCCTCCCCCACCCCACTTGCAGGAGACCCCACTTTCTTCCTCCCACAGACCCTTGTAGCCCCTATGATGCCCCCCAAACCCAATAATGGTTCGGTCCTCAGCCACATCAATGTTTATTCTCTGAGACCTGGTCCCAGTTGTGACATTCCTTCCCCCTCCTTTTCCCGCTCCGTGAAGTGGCCCGGGGCCCAGCCCCGCCTCCACCTTTTCCTTAGCCAATTCCCACCCAGCAACAGGAGTCTCATTTGCATTTCCGGGACCAACTGTCCAATAAGAAGGCAAAACCACGCCTCCTCCCCCACGGGGGCAGTTCTCCTGGCGGACTGCACCACTCTTGGGATCCATGGATGAAGGAAAAGACATCCATCAACGTCTGGGTGAGAAGGAGGGTGGGTCCTTCCTTCAAGTCAGGGCCTGGAGTTTAGCAACAGGGGGTTGTTCTTGCCTTGGAAGAAGCTTAGAAGTCCGATGTCTGGGACTGGCTCCTTAATGATCTTCTGAATCTGCAGGCAGAGGAGGTCAAGAAGTCAAGAACCGTCCTCCCCATCTCCATGATACAGAATCCGAGGAGCACCTCTTCATCTTCATCCCCTTATTATTCCGACAGCATCACTTCTCCGGTCAACCACTTGGAAGTTTTCTTGGTGGCCTCTTCCTCACACTCGCCAGGTTGAGCTACACCCAACCCCCATGTTGGTCTGCTCTGTTGCCTTGGACCACTAAGGGTGGACGAGTGTACTTTGGGCTCTCTTGCCAACACTGCCCTCTTCTTCACCAATCTCAACCTTCCCGTCATTCCTTTAAGCCCTCAGTTCCCACACAGACCCACACTGTGAGCATGGACTCTCAATTCACTCACACAAGGGTCTCTTGGTTGAACAGGAGGAACGAATCCCATTACCGTCAACCAGCCAGTTCAGTCAAGTGTATCTCCAGAATACTAAACAAACCCCGCAAATCCCTCATTTCCACTGCCTCTTCCTAGTTAAGTCCCACTACTGACCGGAGGAGGCGTGAAAGCTGGCCTCTCTTCTCTTCCAGGCCACCAGTGAAATCCCTTGGCTATTCCAATTCCATGGTGGCCAGCTCCTTTTTTTTGTTTGTTGTTTGTTTTTGTTTTTCGAGACAGGGTTTCTTGAAAAACAAAACCCTACAGGGTAGCTTTGGAGCCTGTCCTGGAACTAGCTCTTGTAGGCCAGGCTGGCCTTGAACTCATAGAGATCCACCTGCATCTGCGTGCCCCACCACCGCCCGGCCAGCTCCTATTCTTTTCTTTTTTTCTTTTAAATGAAGCATAGTTAAAGTTTATTAAGATATCTTAAAATAGATTTTAGGAACAAAGAGAGTTGTTTTTTCTCTTCCTGCAGCCCCAGTAGCCTCTGGGATTCCCTAGTAGGAAGAAGATAAACCCCAAAGCATGCATGCAGTCTTACCAAGAGGGAGCTGACTCCTACCCTATCCACTCTGGGGCTCTATGGACCAGGCAAACACTCCCTACACAGGCTTTCTTTACTTCTTGTAAAGAAATAAATGTTGGTGTTGCTGGGATAGAGCGTAGGGCCTTGCCAAGGCTAGACAGCTACCTGATAGCAGCCACATCCATGACCTGCTCTGAGGCACCCCATTAGCTGGGCTATTGTGCAACCCCAAATCTTTCCTAAGAGTTTCCCTCTCCTCCCCAACCTGCCAGTGTTGGCCACACTCAGCTACACACAATTCTTGGAAGAAGGCAAACTCAGCCCTAGCTCTTGACCTTGGCTCCAGCTACCTCCTGGAACAGTCTCCTGGTCTCGGGCTCAAGGTTCCCCATTCCCATTCTTTCACTCCTCTTCACAGTCCTGCTCCAGATTATATTGTTAATGAGCATGAGGTGACCTTTTTCTTTTGGGGTAGGAAACAGGGTCCAACATAGCACCACTCAAACTTACCAAGAAGCCAAGGATGACCCTGCTTGCCTGCACCTCAGGAGTGCCACAACGGGGTGGTGGAGCACACTTCTAACCCCAGACCTCGGGAGTGCCACAACGGGGGTGGTGCACACCTCTAACCCCAGACCTCGGAACGGGGTGGTGGTGAAGCACACTTCTAACCCCAGACCTCGGGAGTGCCACAACAGGGGGTGGTGGAGCACACCTCTAACCCCAGACCTCAGGAGGCAGAGGCAGGCGGATCCCCATGAGGATGGCCTGGTCTCCACATTAAGTTCCAAAGGACAGTCTACATAGTGAGACCCTATCTCAAAAGCAAAGCAACAGCAGGGTGGTGGTGGCACACGCCTTTAATCCCAGCACTTGGGGAGGCAGAAGCAGGTGGATTTCTGTCAGTTTGAAGCCAGCCTGGTCTACAGAGAAGTTCCAGGACTGCCAGGGTTATACAGAGAAACCTTGTCTCGAGAAATCAAAAACCAAACTAAAACAAACAAAAGACAGAGGGCCAGCCAGATGCCTCATCAAGTGGAAGTGCTTGCGATGCTAGCCGAACCTGAGTCCAATCCCCCAGAGCCCAGGAGGTAGGAAAAAAACTGACCACTAAAAGTTGTTCTGTCTGCACACACCACCAGCATGTAGTGCGTGCCGCACATGCCCGTACTATCAGAAGAAAGAAACAGCCAGTTGTCGTGGCACACGCCAGTACGATTTGCTGAAGGAGGCGGAGGCAGGAGGATCACGAGTTTGAGGCCAGCCTGGGCTAGACAGCCTGGAGAGATGGCTCAAAGGTTAAGAGCACTGGCTGCTCCTTCAAAGGGCCTGAGTTCAATTCCCAGCAACCACATGGTGGCTCACGACCATCTATAATGAGGTCTGGTACATTCTTCTGGTGTGCAGGCATACATGCAGGCAGAACACTTTATACATAAATAAATAATAAATAAATCTTTATAAAAAAATAAAACAAACAAATAAATAGGGCTGGAGATACAGCTCAATCAGTAGGGTATTTCCCTAGCAGGCTTAAAGCCCTAGGTTCCATCACCACCACATTAAAAATAAAAAAAAAAAGAGCAGCTGGGTGGTGATGGTTCACGCCTTACGCCTTTATTCCTAGCACTTAGGAGGCAGAGGCAGGAGGATCTCAGTGAGTTTGAGACCAGCCTAGTATACAGTGCAAGCTCCAGGACAGCCAGGGCTACACAGAGAAACTCCCATCCAAATAAACGAACAGAAACAAACAAACAAACAAAAAATGTGGGCTGGTTTCTTGGCTCAGCAGTTAAGAGTAGTGGCTGCTTGTCCAGAGGTTCCGGATTTGATTTCCAATACCCACTTGATGGCTCACAGTCGTCTTTAACTCTAGTTCAGGGAACCCAATGAGGGCACCAAGCGCCAGGCACACAAGTAGGGCACAGACAGACATACAGGCAAACGAGCAGTAAGACAAAATAAAAGTGAAAAAGAAATGGAGGGCGGGAACTATTTCTCTACGCCCGGGTGACTGAGAAGGGTCTTTACCTCCTTGAACCGTGGGTGGGTAGAGTCCTTTACCAACTGCAGAATCAGCGCTTCGCTGGTGGACAGGAAGACACCGCTCTGTCGCATCCGATCCAGGCTCACCAGCCGGTTCATCTCGCTGGGGAGAACAGAGCAGGAGGAGAGGGCAGGTTTTAGTTTTCACGCCGTGCCACATCTGTGTTGTGGGACAGTTTCCTCTCAATGGAAACATCCCTTCCAGACAGGAGGGGGAGGCTCATGAGACTCAGGAGGTAAACAAGAGGCCACACGTGGAGCTGAAGGGATGGCTCAGCAGTTAGGAACACTGGCTGCTCTTGCAGAGGACCTGGGTTCAATTCCCAGCACCCACATGGCAACTCACAACCATCTGAACTCCAGTTCCAGCAGATCTGACACCCTCATACTAACGCATATAAAAATGAAGAAAGTCACTGTTTGACTTTGGTGCAATGGTTACAGTTAGGTTCCCCTCTAGGGAGAGTAGATGTCTGAGTGCTGGGGTTCCTAAGGAAATATCTGTGTCCCAGATGTCCACTCACCACAGAGTGACCGTCTCACCTTTGAGAAGAACAGGCATCCACCGCCACATGGACCTGTAGCCCTCGGTCCAGGAGGTCCAGGGCCGTGTTCTAAGGGCAGAGAAAGGTCAGTGAGCCTCACAGCAGTGGGCTGGTAGCAGCGAGGGCACAAGAACCCTAGAGCAGAACAGAGGACTGAAATAGCTGAGAGAGGCTCACAGCAAAGCTGGGACCCAGGGTAGGAGAGAGGGCTAGCGGGAAGATTAGGGACCCCTGAGGACAAGGAGTCTCACCAAGATGCAGGCTTGGGTCTCAATGCCACAGAGAAGCACCGACTGCAGGTGAGGTCGTCTGTCCAGCTCCTGCTGCAGTGGGGGCACCATGCTGAAGCACGTTTTGCTCACGGCCTGTATGCCCTGAGCGCCCAGCTCAGGAACTGTGGGACCCAGGCCTTGTGGGTACTGCTCCGTCAACAAGACAGGGACATCCAACATCTGAGCCACCTGTATGGGAGGGAAAGCATTGTGCTGGGACCCACGGATGAGGGCTGAGGACAAGACTCCTGGGTCTGAGGGAGGAAGACAGGCCCGGACTCCTGGGTCTGAGGGAGGAAGACAGGCCCGGACTCCTGGGTCTGAGGGAGGAAGACAGGCCCGGACTCCTGGGTCAGAGGGAGGAAGACAGGCCCGGACTCCTGGGTCTGAGGGAGGAAGACAGGCCTGGACTCCTGGGTCTGAGGGAGGAAGACAGGCCCGGACTCCTGGGTCTGAGGGAGGAAGACAGGCCCGGACTCCTGGGTCAGAGGGAGGAAGACAGGCCCGGACTCCTGGGTCTGAGGGAGGAAGACAGGCCTGGACTCCTGGGTCTGAGGGAGGAAGACAGGCCCGGAATCCTGGGTCTGAGGGTTTTGGTCTCCACTCTTAGGAAAAAAGTTGGCATGTACCTTAAGCATCCGAGCGGCCACTGACACGATCTGTGGGAAGTAGAGGATTCTGTCTCGAAGTTTCTCCTGCATGTCGCAGAGGAACAGGATGGAGGACTCTGGGAGGATCCTGCCCAGGCCAGCCCTGGCTGCTGCCATTGCCTGGGGGTGGAGAGAGGGACAGTAGGCAGCGTGAGGTAGGGATGAAGGTTCACGGATTCATCCCGGATCTGTGCACTCGGCTCTGTGGCCCATGCCTTTCATCTTCCCGTTTCTACCTCTGGGTCTTTTCACCTGTTGTTGTTTGGCCTGGGATTCGCCCCGACCCGTTTTTTCTTCCTGCCCAGTTAGTTCATGGGTGAGGACACTTGCCCCCAAAGCCTTATCTGATCATGTCTACCTTATTCCTGGGGCCAGTGTCAGCCACCCTTGTCCCCATGACTGCACCTTCCTTTTCTCCTATCCAAAGACTACAGTGTTCGCAAGTCATGCTGTGACCTCTTCCTTTTTCTTTCTTTCTTTTTTGGTTTTTCAAGACAGGGTTTCTCTGTGTAGCTTTGAAGCCTGTCCTGGAACTCACTCTGTAGACCAGGCTGGCCTCGAATTCACAAAGATCTGTCTACCTCTGCCTCCCAAGTGCTGGGATTAAAGGCGTGCGCCACCACCGCCCAGCTTCTGTGACCTCTTTCTACCTGTCTCCGCTCACTCAGGCCTCCACTCCCTGGGAATACTGATGCTTAAGCAATAAGGTAACTCACTCAGGGACGTACAGATCTTAGATATTGTCTTTGAGATAAAAAGTGCCACAGGGGATGGCTCAGAGGTTAAGAGCACTGGCTGCTCTTCCAGAGGTCCTGAGTTCAATTTCCATCACCCATATGGTGGCTCACAAATTACCATCTGTAATTTTTTTTTTTTTTTTGGTTTTTTCGAGACAGGGTTTCTCTGTGGCTTTGGAGCCTGTCCTGGAACTAGCTCTGTAGACCAGGCTGGTCTCGAACTCACAGAGATCCGCCTACCTCTGCCTCCCGAGTGCTGGGATTAAAGGCGTGCGCCACCATCGCCCGGCTACCATCTGTAATTTGATTAGCTTCCCTCTTCTGGCATGCAGACAGAATATACATGATAAATAAATAAATTAAAAAAAAGTGCCACAGGGGGCTGGAGAGATAGCTCAGTTATTAACAACTAGGCTCACGACCAAAAATTATAAGAAAACGTGCCACAAGGTCTTGCTATGTAGCCCAGGCTGGCTTTAAACTTACAATCTTCTTGCTTTAGCCTCCTGAGGTCTAGAAGAACATACATCTGCCACCATCCCAGAGTCTTTGAGATCCTTTTAAAGCCTACTTTCCCAGCTTGCCCAATGCTTCCTTTTAGCCTCAGTTTACCCATGAGCAAAACACTGTGGCTGAACTTTCTGGGTCTGGTAAAGAAAGGGTGGTGTACCCACAGAACGGGTGTTAATAAGCCACAGGAAGTAACAAAAGCCTAACACGTGCTACGGCATAGTACCCCAAAATGTTATGCTTAGTTAAAGAGAGCATGACCCATACATTCCTTCGAAATGGCCAGAACGAGCCACATGTGGTGGCTCACACGGTGATCCTAGTGCCCAGAACAGCAAGACTTGCTGAGTTTTCAAGGATGGCTTGATCTACATGAGTTCTAAGGTAGCCTGGGCTGTAGAGTTTCGAAAAGCCAAAAACAGAGCCAACAAGATGGCTCAGTGGGTAAAAGGGCCCACCACTGAACCCAAGGACCCATGGCTGACTGGCTCTGGTGGAAAAAAATAACCAACACCCCACAGTTGTCCTCTGACCTCCATATGTCTCTCTTTCATACACCCCCATATGTTGTGAAATATTATTTTAACTAGGCATTTGTTTATGCTACGGAATATGACTTAAACTGTGTAAAGGTGTGTTACATTTGTTTAACGATGAAAGGATGTTTGTTTATGTAAAGGTGTGTTACATTTGTTTAACGATGAAAGGATGTTTGTTTATGTAAAGGTGTGTTACATTTGTTTAACGATGAAAGGATGTTTGTTTATGTAAAGATGTGTTGCATCTGTTTCACCTTGCCTGCCTAAGGCATCTGATTGGTCTAGTGAAGAGCTGAACAGACAATAGCTAGTCAGGAGAGGGATAAGTGGGGCTGGCAGGCAGAGAGAGGGGTAATCTAGAGACGAAGAGAAGAGAAGAGAAGAGAAGAGGAGACACCCAGGGCCCAAAGCCAGGCAGCCTCCAGCTAGACATGAGAAGCAAGAAAGTAAGCAATAAAAAAATGGGGTACAGACCTAAACGGAGAACTCTCTTAACAGTCAAATCTTAAATGGCTGAAAGACACTTAAGGAAATGCTCAATATCCTTAGCCATCAGAGAAATGCAAATCAAAACAACTCTGAGATTCCATCTTACGTCAGAATGGCCAAGATAAAAACACTGATGACAACTTACGTGGAGAGGTTGTGTGGTAAAGGGAACACTCCTCCATTGCTGGTGGGAATGCAAACTGATACAGCCGCTTTGGTAATCAGTATGGTGATTTCTCATAAAATTAGGAAACAACCTTCCTCAAGACCTAGCTGTTGAGTATATACCCAAGGGATGCTCAATCATACCACAAGGACATGTACTCAATTATGTTCATAGCAGTATTGTTTGTAACAGCCAGAAACTAGAAACAACCCAGATGTCCCTCAACTGAATAATGGATAAAGAAAATGTGGTACATTTACACAATGGAGTACTACTCAGCAGTAAAAAACAATGACATCTTGAAATTTACAGGCAAATGGATGAAGATAGAAAAAACCATACTGAGTGATGTAACCCAGACCCAGAAAGACAACGATAATATGTATTCACTCATAAGTGGCTTCTAGACATAAAGCAAAAAAAACCCCAAAAAACAAAAACCCTACAGTTCACAACCCCAGGATCTACATAGGAAGGAGAAAAAGATAAGATCTCCTGAGTAAATTGGGGGCATGGGGGGGGTCACAGGAGAGGGTAGAAGTGTGGGGGGAAGTAAAGGAAGGGAGGGGAGAAAAATGTATAGCCCAATAAAAGCAATAAAATTGTGTAAAAAAAGAAAGTGAGACAGAAGGAAAGAAAGAAAGAAAGGTAAAACGACCAAGGCAAAACATAGATGAAGAGAAACAGATTAAGTTATAAGAGCTAGTAAGAAACAAGCGTAAGCTAAGGCTGAGCATTCATAACTAAAAGTGAAGGGGAATCTCTGTCAGCCAATGACCTGTAAGGGGTTGGACCGGGTTAGCATCAAGTCTCCGTGTCATGATTTGGGAGCTGGCTGGTGACCCAAAAAAAGAAAGCCTGGTGTACACACACACACACACACACACTGATAAAATAAGCACACAGGGTCTGGAGAGATGGCTCAGTGGTTAAGAGCGCTTGTTGCTCTTGCAGAAGACCAGGGTTTGATTCCCAGAACCCATATGGTGACTCACAACTGTCTTCAACCCTAGTTCCAGGGGATCCAATGACCTTTTCTGAATTCTTTGGGCACCAGGTTTGTCTGCAGGCAACACACACACACACACACACACTCACACTCACACACACACATGCACACACACACTCACACACATGCACACACACACATGCACACACACACATGCACACACACACACTCACACACATGTACACACACACACTCACACACACACACGCACACACTCACACACACACACATGCACACACACTCACACACACACATGCACACACACTCACACACACACACTCACACACATGCACACACACACACTCACACACATGCACACTCACACACACACACATGCACACACACACATGCACACACACACACACACACACACACACATGCACACACACACTGAAGAGTCCTGAGGTAGGTAGGAAGGGGCTTGTCTAAGATTATACGACTTGCACCTCAGGCCTGGAAGAACTCATGGGGGAGAAGTCGCCCACTTATTTTGGGAGGCTGGGGATGTAGCTCAGTTGGTAGAGTGCTTGCTTAGCATGCACAAACGTCTCGGTTCCATGCCTCACACCACAAAAACTGTGTGGTGGCACAGGCTTGGAACCCCAGAACTCTGGAGGTGGCGGCAGGAGGTTCAGAAGTTCAAAGTCATTCTCCATTACTAGTGGATTCTAAGCAGCCTGGGCTACACATGACCTTCTCAGGGAGAGGTCTGTAGACCTGCTAAAACAAGGCCAGGCTTTGTGAGCTGTCTCCCAGTATTTGTCAAAGTGCAATTAACCAGCTCACTGGGGTCTTAAGAAAGGCTTCTTTCTTTCTTTCTCTCTCTCTCTCTCTCTCTTTCTTTCTTTCTTTCTTTCTTTCTTTTGGAGGCAGCTTTTCTCTGTGTAGCCCTGGGTCCTGGAACTCACTCTATAGACCAGGCTGGTCTTGAACTCAGAGATCCACCTGCCTCTGCCTCCCAGGATTAAAAGCGTGTGCCACCACTGCTCAGCCTTCACTTTTGATTTTTAAGACTTTTTTTTTAATTTTATGTGTATGCGTGTATCATGTATGTCCGTGGCCATGTGAATGCAGTACCCACAGAGGCCAGAAGAGGGTATCAAGTCCCCTGGAGCTGGAGTTACAGCTATTACCCACCCCATGGGGGCTGGTCCAGCTTCCCTCTTTTTTTTTTTTTAATTGAAATAGAGTGCTATAAAACGAGAATAAATGTGTGAGGCACAGCACTTGGGAGACTGAGCTGTGTAGCTGTCTAGAGCTGGAGGCCCGCCAGGGCTGCATAGTGACCTTGCCCCCAAAAAGCTGAGCAATAAGAAATTTAAGATTGCACAATGTATAACAGGTTGTCAGTGAAGAATAAACACAAACTTTGTAATAAAGTCAACAGCCTGCAAAAAAAGCCGTGGGATGAGGTCCAAAAGTGACAGACACCTCCCTCTGACCCCAGCCATCTCCCAGTCCTGAGAACAGAGATGCAAGCCCTGCCCACAGGGCCACAAGGCTCTGGATTCAGAGCCCCAGCCGTAGCCCACTCCACAGCCCCTGCGCCCCATTTCCTGGAGGACCGGTGAGTGCCTGTGTGTGAGCATGTGCAAGAGAGCCCACATGTGCTGATCAGAGCACAACCTCAGGTGTTCCACCCTGAGGCAAGTCTCCTGCTGGCTGCTACTTCAAGGGCCAAGCCAGCTAGCTGGCCGGGGAACTTCCGGGGTGTCTCCCATCTCTACCTCCCACCCCCCAGCATGAGTTTTGGAATTATAGTTATGTCTGGCTTTACATGGGTGCTGAGGATCCTGAACTCAACTCCTCATGCTTGCATGGCAAACACTTGACCCACTGAGCAAGCTACCCAGTCCCTGGAGGACCCTTCTCACCCCCAGGGCAGTCTTCTAGTCCCGGGCACAAGGGACACACCGGCAGCAAGAAGCCCCAGAGGGTCGAAACTGGAGGCTCAGAATGTCTCATAGCGTGACAGGTGTCGGAACCTGAAGAGTATGGTCAGCGCCCTCACGACAGGGACACAAATCTCCTATCCAGAGATCTGTCCCTAAGTATTATCTGACAGGGACCAGGTTATTAATCACAGGACTCTTTGACAGGCCTCCAGTGACAAAGGGTCAAGCATAAATACAGACATGCCCAGACTACGGACCCTCGCAGCCTGGCCCACATGGTGCTCCACGATAGATGTCTTACACAATCATTTAGGGACTGACTCCTAATAAGCCACGGTATTTTATCCATTCTCATCCACATAGCTGTACAGCAGACAGCCTCTCATGTAGTCAAGGCAGCCTCGGACTCCTGGCAATCCTCCTGTTTACAGGTACAGAGAGAGTCACCGTGCTGTGATAATCGTTTTCTTTTGCTTTTCCACTACGTGGCTAAGGACGACCCTGAACTTCGGGTCCTCCAGCCTCCACCCTGAGTGTTAGAATTATCAGCCGGCATCAACAAACAGTTTCTGCATTCGGTGCTATGTATCAGGTTCAGCACTGTTGACTTTGAGACAGAACCTTGCTAAATTGCCCAGGGGGGTCCTGGAATTCAATCTGCAATTTTCCTGCTGAGGCTGCAGAGCAGCTGGGATCACAAGCCTGCACAGGACCCAGTTCTCACCGTGAATTTTCTGTAGCAGGAAACGACAGCAAGGAAGGTCTTCGACACCTCGAAAAGCGCTCAATAGACGTGAAAAGAGAAAGCATGGTATGGAATACTCCCGCCTGTGCCCCCGCCTCCCGTGAAGTGGCAAATGGAGGTTTTTACTTTTCTTAAAAATTTCCATTTATGCCAGGTGGTGGTGGTGCACACCTTTAATCCCAGCAGGCGGGAGGCAGAGGCAGGCGGATCTCTGTGAGTTTGAGGCCAGCCTGGTCTGCAAGAGCTAGTTCCAGGACAGGCTCCAAGGCTACACAGAGAAACCTTGTCTCAAAACACAAAGCAAAGCAACAAAACAATCCATTTATTTGTTTAACTTATTTTTGGGAGAGGGCACACCATGGTGCACACACGGGGGTCAGAGGACAACCTGAGGCAGTGAGTTCTCTCCTTCCAGCATGTGGGTCTCCAGGGAGCACAAATGTGTGTGTTTATTAGGTCTATTTTGTATGACTGTTTGGCGGGACATTGATGCATGCATTGTCTGTGGAGGCCAGAAAAGGACATTAGATCCCTTGGGCCTGGAGTTACAGGTGGTTGTGAGCCACCGTGTGGGTTCTGGGAAGTCCTCTGCAAGAGCAACAAGAGCTCTTAACCACTGAGTTCAGTCTACACACGGGCGCATGTACACACCACATACACACACACACACACACACACACTATCTTGGCTTGGGAACCATTTCTGGTAGGCACAGTGTGAAGGAAAATTGACTTCGGTTGTGTCTTCTCTTTTAATTAGTTAACGGCTGGCAGGGTATCTTGTATCCTATGTTGACCAGAACTTGCTATCCAGTTGAGTCTGGTTTGAACCCGTGATCCTCCTGCCTTTATCCCCCACACGCTAACGGACCTTGACTGTGTTCTCTTTTATTCATTCATTTATTTTAATCAGGGTGTCACGCATCCTGGGTTGACAGAGACCTTACAATGTAGCTGAGCCCGGCTTTGAATACCTGACCCTTCTGCCTCTACCCCGTGTCCTAGGAACTCCAGGTATGTAACTTCACTCTCAGGTTGAAGCTCCACTTCCTCATTAGAACAACTGGGAGTTCACTCGGTAACAATTCACCTGACTTCCGTCCTAGTGTGGCGTGCTACTTGTGGCATATGTCTTCTTGAACAGGGGAGAAGGGGCCGGGGCTGTAGTTCAGGGATAACTTGCCTGGCATTCTTGACGCCCTAGGCTCAGTTCTCCAGTACTGCCAGACGTGATGGAGATGGACTGGGGACAAAAGTTGGGAGAAGTCGGGAGTGCTTTGTGTGCACTCCCTGGGTGAGTTTCGCTTCCTCTCTGGGCCTCTTTTCCCTCCTGGGTTATCCCACTCGCGGAGCTGATGCAAAAGTTGGCTCTGGAGAGGCTTGGAGTCCTTTCCCGAGGGTCTATCCTGAGACCAATAGGAATGCCATCCCAAATCCCGGCCCACGCCCCTCAAGACTTCCATTTCTCGGTGAGACAGTGGCTTTACAAGCAGAGTGCGCTCAGCGAATAGGGCTTACCCTGAATGTCCCAGGTTCGAATCCGGTCGCTTTCCACCTATGACTTTTCTCCTCTGGATTCCCACGGACTCCGGACTGGGTCTCCTTTTTGCCCTGTAGGGACACGTGAGGTCCTTGGGTCACTGTCCTGCCCTTCCGTGCCGAGCCACCCAATCGGTGCTTGCCGCACTCAGTCCCACTCTTCAGGCCTATGCATAGACGCCTCTAGTACGCTTTCATTTCTGTTAATCTGATTGGTCTGTAGAAGCTCAAGAAGGCGGAGATACAGTAAAGATGACCAATGGGAATGCACAGAGGGCGTGCCCCTGACTGAGAGCTCATCGTCTAACCCGGAATCTGGGTGGATGCTGCCAGAAGCTGCAGGCTCTGCCGAGGCTAGTGTAAAGAGTTGGGGCCTCCTCACCCCCTCAGGGCGTGCAGCGGTAACGCTCTCCTGTAAACCTGGCTGTGGGCAGGCTGAAGCAAGAGGGACTGCTAGTTCAAGACCAGGCAGGATTACCCAGTGAGAACCTGTCATCAAGAACCAGAACAACAAAAGAACATTTTGCCCCCCTGCTAGCGGGTTTGTTTTTGCCTTTCTCCTAGTATTCAACACTTGCCTCTTTGAGTGGTCTATTAAACTGACGCTAGGCTTAGAAGTGGGGGTTAAAAGAGACAGAGTTTTCCGTCCAAATGCACAAGCCTGGTGTGGAGGCTCCTTTCTGTAATCCCAGCTGGAGGAGTCTTAAATTCAAGCCATGGGGGCGGGGGCTGAGTATGGTGCTTCCTGTTCATGATCCCAAGTGCTCAGAAACGAAGGCAGGAGGATTTCTTTGATTTCAAGATCTGAAAAGAAGGCTAGGCATGGTGGGTAACTGTAAACTCAGCACTTGGGAGGCTGAGGTAGGGGATCATTTTTGGGGAGAGCTTGAGGCCAGTCAGAGTTATATTATTATACATTAGAGTTCTGGGTTAGCTTGGGCTACAGCGAGTGACACTGTCCAGCAAACAAAAGAGACAAGGCTGGTGTAATAAAAACCCAGAGACAGATACTGGGGCCCAAGAAGGAGATCAGAAAAGCAAAGCAGCCGAGCCACTAGAGAGTTCTTACTCTACCAAGGTTAGGACAGGCAAAGGGGCGATCCTGCCCTCATCGTGACTGCAGACTGAGATGCTCCTCACCAAACCTCAGGCTCCTTCAGCTCTAGTCTCCTGCCCTATACACCTCTCTTGCCTCAGCGTCTCCGCCTCCTCAGTGCTGGGACTAAAGGTGTGTGTCACCACTCCCTGGCCTCTAGTGGCTTAGCTCTGAACTCTGATCCACATGCAAGCTTTATTTATTAAAACACAAATAAAATGTCGCTGTATTTTCCTTTTCGTCTAAAATAAAAAGAGAACTCAAGGCACCCTGGGCTACATGAGATTGTCTCTGTCTAAAAGGAAGAACTAGAACTCACACAAAGGTGGTCCCAGCACTCGGGGTCCCACGCAGCTGCAGTCTGGGGTTTGGTGGGGAGCATTGCAGTCTGCAGTCACACTGAGGGCAGGATCGCCTCTTTGTCTGAGCCTTGGTAGAGTAAGAACTCTCTAGTGGCTCGGCTGCTTTGCTTTTCTGATCTTCAGCTTGAGCCCCAATGTCTGTCTCTGGGTTTTTATTGTTGTCTGTGCTACAGGCTGGGATGTAGTTCAGTGGTAGAGTGCTTGCCTGGCACCCGTGAAGCCTTGGCTTCAGTATCCAGCACTGTATACATACAGGGAAGTGGAACCCAACGGGACCGGACTGTAATTCCAGCACCTGGAAAGTGGGAGGGAATCGTAGCAGAAGTTCAAGGTTAGTCTCTCCAGTATAGTGAACTCGCGTGCATCCAAACCCCAACAAACCAACTAGTCAACCAAACAAGACAAAATAGCAAGAAAAACACAGTCCAAATTTCTTCCCATCCTGTCTGGTCTGCGCTCCAGCCACACTGGCCTCCCAGGGTCTGTGTGCTGTTCCTGGCTCTTGAACACCATGCTTCCCCAGAGCCTGCTTCCGCTCGGCCTTCCAGGTCTTCTCTGACCATGCGATGTAGTAGGTCAGTCAGCACACTTTATTTACAGACCAGCACTCATCCCCATCAGAAATTGAAATTTTCATCTTGCTGTCCAAAGCTCTCTGCAGATTCTTGTGTATTAGTGTGTGTGAGTGTGTGTGTGTATATATGTGCGCGCGTGCACGCGCACGTGCGCGTGTGATCTCACACGCACCTACTTGAGCTCCACGAGGTGGGGTTCTTGTCTACTTTGCTTCAAAGTCCTAACACCTAGTGTAGCATGAATTCTAAATGGTCTTAATAATTAAAACTCAGAGTCAGGTATTAGGGGATAGAATCTGAAGGATCAGAGAAGCAGAGCAGCCGGCCACTAGAGTTCTTACCTCTATCGATGCCAAAGGGGCGACCTTGTCCTTAGGAACCCTCAGACTGCACCTCAGACTGAATCCTCAGACTGCAGCCGAGCTCCTGTCTCCTGGGCCAGGTCCATAGCAGTGCTCAGTGGAACTGGGGCACTGTTGAGTGAGAGCAGACACCAGGCAGAGAAGAGTGAGGTGGGGAGGGGAGCAGTGTGAGCTGGGATAGCCCCCGGCCCTGAGTCGAGAAGGCTCTGGGGCTGTGGTCCAGTACCGGAGTCTGGGCTGAGCTCATTTTCCCAGGTTTATTTTTGTACAGATTTCTGTGGTGCTGAGGTTGAACTCAGGGTTTCAGGCGTCCTGGGCAAGTGTTCACTAACAGAGTTAATACCACAGCTCTGCCAGGGAGGGAGTACGTGGTGGGAACTCCTGAGAGGTTGCCTTGGGCTTTTCTGGGGCCCTGCCTGTGATGTGAGGATTTCTTTTCTTTTCTTTTTTTTTTTTTAAAGATTTATTTATTTATTATATGTACAGTGTTCTGTCTGTCTATATGCTTGCTGGCCAGAAGAGGGCACCAGATCTCATTACAGATGTCTGTGAGCCACCATGTGGTTGCTGGGAATTGAATTCAGGACCCCTGGAAGAGCAGTCAGTGCTTTTAACCACCCAGCCATCTCTCCAGCCCCGATGTGAGGGTTTCATGAGCCCTCCACCCCACTTCTCAAGGATCTCCTGAAATGCCAGGCACAAGGTGCCTCCTAATCATCCATTTCACCCCAGGCAAGAGCCACGGGCTCGGTGCTGTGGCTACAGGCTTGCCTTATTGCACCTAGCATGAACATCTATCAAGGGAGCTAAAGCCAGCATGGATCAATTGACTTTGTAGACTTTTTAACACTGTAGTGATGTTAGTCTTGTCTTTTCTCCTCCTGCTTCTCCCTCTAGACAGGGCTCAATGTGTAGCCCTAGCTGTTCTGGAACTCACTCCGTAGACCAGAGTGACCAGGCTAACTCAAAGAGACCCGCCTGCCTCTGCTTCCCAAGTGCTGGGGTTAAAGGCGGGCGCCACCACATCCTGACTAAGTTTTACTTCTTTTTCTAAATGTTTTGCCTGCATGTTTGTGTGAGGGTGTCGAATCCTCTGGAGGTGGAGTCAGCAGATAGATTTGAGACACCATGGGGGTGCTGGAAATTGAACCAGGGTCCTCTGGAAGAGCAGCCAGTGCTCTTAACCCCTGAGCCAGCTCTCCAGCCCCAGACCCTCTTTTCCTAAACAAACAAACAAACAAACAAACAAACAATCTCTTTTGCGTTTGTGTGTGTGTGTTTGTGACCACTGTGGTGCTGGTACCCACGTGGACGTTAGCGGATAATGCTAGAGATGCTTCTCTCTCTACCATGCAGGTCCTTGATATCACTTAGGTCATCAGTCTTGGCAGTAAACCCCTTTACCCACAGAGCCCTAGCGCTCTGGCAACTTTTATGTTGTTATTTAATTAGCATAGACATTAATTCGCATAGAAATATGAAAATTATGGCATTTCCACGCACACCGACTCTAGGTTGATTTCCTATTCCACTTGTTCCTCTCCGCCCTGTCTTCCTGCCACTTCCCCGCCTGTACCCTTTCCACCCACAGTCCTCCCCTTTCCACTTCCACACCACAGGTGTTCCGTTACCCTCCCCATTCTCTTCCTCACAGCGTCTTCTCCTCCTGGGTCCCTCTCTAGTTTCCCGGCCTCCACCCACACGCATTCCCACACAATACACATATATTAAGGAGTGAAAGCCAGAATCCACGTTGGAGAAAGAACATGCAGTGTTTGCTTTCCCGAGCCAGAGTTACTCTGTTTGATATATTTTCCCAATTCCATCTACCTTCCCATCATCCTGAAAGAGCAGTTACTGCCATCTCTCTAGCTGCTCCTCCCCCCTTTGAAACAAGAATGACTTTCATTTTATTTGCGTGTCTAAGTGATTGTATGTGCTCACACACATATGTTCTCTCTCTCTCTCCCCCCCCCCAAACAGGGCCATATGTATCCTAGGCTGGCCTCAAACTCATTATGTAGCTGACCCTGTCCTTGAGCTCCCAATCTTCCTGCTTCCACCTTGTGAAGGTAGGATTATAGGTGTGTGATGCACCAGGCTTCAAAGCTTTTTCTTCCCCCACCTGGGGATTTCAGTTAACGGGGGAGAAGGGTTACAAGTTTGAAGTCAGCCTGGGGGGACTTATTAACAAGTAGGAGCCTAGCTGGGCATTGGTGGTGCACACCTTTAATCCCAGCACTGGGGAGGCAGAGGCAGGGGGACCTTTGTGAGTTTGAGACCAGCCTGGTCTACAGCGTTCCAGGACAGTCTCCAAAGCTACAGAGAAACCCTGTCTTGAAAACAAACAAAAGTAGTAGCCAAAAGCTTGGCGAAGTGTTGTAAGCCTTTAATACTAGCACTTGGGAGGCAGAGGCAGGGGGATTTCTGTCAGTTCAAGGCCAGCCTGGTCTACAAAGAGAGTTCCAGGACAGGACAACCAGGGCTGTTACACAAAGAAACCCCATGTCACCAAACCAAAAAAACAAAAACAAAACAAAAAAAAAACCCACCAAAATAAAGCAAAAAAGTTGGGGCCAAGGGTGTAGCTCAGTGGGTAGAGTGCTTGCCTAGAATGTACAAAAAGCCTGTATGCTCGCTACTTTCCTGTTGTGGAGATTAAGCACCCCGACTAAGACAATTTCTAGAAGAAAGGTGACTCTGGCTTCCAGGATAATAGTCTATGATGGTGGAACAGAGGCAGCA